CAGGAGCACGCAGTCACTGGCTGTACAGAGCAACACCTACATGTGGGTACAGCTATAAAACGTCAGCTGCTGATCCCTTCAGTTGCTAGAGCCACTACTGTAGTTTTAATACTTGCATTGTTTCATCCTCAACAGCTCCCCTGGTGAAGACATAAAGCAGTTCCCACTAGTATTTAAAGGGAATTAAATGGAAGGATTTCTATTTTTGCTGTATGAATTTCTACCCCGAGGTTAATTTTGCTGGGGGATTTTTTTACCCTGGGGCATAAGAGGGTGAAGGGAGTGATAGTTTAACAAAAGACAGCAAGCTGAAAACTATGTGCACTATGTATAGCTATGTGAAATCAAACCCTTTAAGAACATTTCTTTCAAAATATTCAGCAATCAAAACAGGTAATGCTGTTTTTGATGACTCCTGCTCTCTTCACAAAGCCTGAAATTCTATAAAAGCAAGAAGGTGCCATTTCTACCAGACAAAATGCATTTTTATTTCAAATATTAAAAAAAAAAAACAAAATCAGTAATACTCCCTCATATAAACTATACAGACTATCAAAAGTCAGCTAGCTCTGAAACTGAACCCTTTAATTCAGTTCAGAAAACTTGAGCCCAGATCTTTCATTAGGACAAATAAGTAAATATCTCTTGAAGTCAGTTACACTGGTCCTGTCAGCTTGGAGAATCCCAGCTTTGTGATCACAGAAATATTTAGTTTTTCAAGGGGACAGAGCAGATTGAATAGAGATTCCAGGATGTGGCCCTACCTACATATTACTGTGAATATTACTGTTTTGCCACTGAAGATCCAGCTTCGAGGCTGCAGAGCTGTCAGAGACCAAACATGATGGACCACCCATCGGCCTTTTATTAACCAGCACTTGTTCCCCCCTCTAATCCTATCACCAGAGTAATCAAAGCTGCCATGTCCCAGGGTTTGATGGAACAGCAGGACCTGGGAAATGAAGACTGATTTTGTTAACAAAGTCATTCCTGCCCCATGAATGCTGCCTCATTGGTAGAAAGCGGGGAGATGAGGTTTATTTGTGCAGAGAATGAGGCGGCAAAGAAATGAAAGGGGGAGAATGGTGAAGTGTGAAGTTTAATCTGGCACAGTCTGAGGTTTCTTTCTTTGAGGCCGTCTCTGATCCAATCAACACTGGTTTGATATTTAACATCTCCCCCTGCAGTTAGAAATGATACCAGCCGGAGGAGACCAGAGTCAGAGCTTCCCAAACAGCCAAAGGGGAGAGAAGGGAGTGCTGGCAGCTCCTCACCAGCCTGACAGCTTCCCCACCAACAGGCTGGCGGGAAGCTGGACCCTGATACAAAATTTCCCCTACTAACCTTGGGATTTAGGGCATCTGTCATGAGCTGAATGCAGACTGTCCCTGAGGAGAGCAAGTTTGGGATGGGATGGGAAAGGGATTTTAGTTCTAATGGGGAGGAAGAGCTATGAACACCATCTGGCAGGAATAGGATCAAACACAAGCAAGAGATGCCAGCCACCTCCCCAGGGAACAGCAGTTTGGGTAGAGGAGTAAGACCTTCCCCTTGCTGACTGTACAGACCTTCAGTGGGGACACACTGCCATCACTCCAGGATGATTGGGGTCCCATGGCAGCCCTGGGGCATCAGGGAAGATGCACCAGACCTGAGCAGCTGCATCACAATTCTCTTTACTCCAGCAACAGCCTGGGGAAAGCTTCCCATCATAGGCTCACATGAGGGTCCCAAAGAGGAGAGAGAGAGCTGAGCCCTCTTCCCAGCTGGCCTGCAGACAACACAGGGATGAGTCCTGTAGTGGCTGCAGTGCCTCTGCCAGGATTCCACAAGAAGGCCTGGAATGTCATCTGTCCCTCACCAGTTCTCAGCCCTGGCCAACTTGATTTTGCCCTTTTCTGGCCACTCACTCTCTGCATAAACATCAGTGCTACCAGACAGACTTGTCTGCTTCCTCTTCTTCACTTGCCTCAGCTCTTTCTGTCCCACCTTCCATGAAAACCCTGAAACTTCAAATACCAAGGAGCAGTAAAATTTCAACCTGACCCAAACCTGCTACGAACTCCCCTGCACCCAGGCTCCCAACACTGCCTTCTGCTGGGATTCAGACACCTTGACACCAGCTCAGCCATACCCAGGGCCCGGACTTTGAGTGACCAGCAGCTGCCAGAGCCCCAGGAGGTGGGATAACACTTCCCCTCAGGATCCAAGCAGGAGAGCGGCCGGTCAGCAGGAGGCAGAAGGCAGGGACTGATGTGGAAAAGCAGCAGGAAACACTGTGCAAGGGTTTCAAGGGGAGCAGAGCATCAAACTACAAAGTTTCGGGGTTTACAATAGAAAACAATGCTCCCTGCCCTACCTGCAGGAGCTGGCTCTCCAGGAAGCAGCTAATTATATGAGCCACCTTAATCTTTTTATCCGGCTAAGACAATCAACATTTCAAAGCCACGCAGAGAACGTTTCAAAGATCGTTCCTGGTCAAAAATGCAAGTGTATCCACTTTCTTTCAGAGCAGATCAAAACCAAGTACCACACCGGGACCACTCCTAGATTTCCTCCTCCTCACAGTATCAGATTAACAGATTTGGTGTATGTAGTCAGATTAAATATTTGCAGTAGCACAAAGCTGCCTTTGAGGAGAAGAAGTAGGGAAAAAAAGCTTTTTTTGTCTTTTTTTTTTAATTTGCTTAGGGCAAAAATACTGGACTTTGGGGATGTGGGAAACAAAAGCATTGACATGATTCAGCAAGGCACAGTCCTAAAACCTGAATTCTGAATGCAGAAATAACGTGCAGTGTTCCTGTAACAGTAATGCTGAAAACAGGTAAAAAACCACTGATGCCCTTAGCAGATTTGGGACTATAATTTATCACAGATGTTCTCATCAAACTGTGCAAACACCCTGCGAGACAAAAGCTGCTCAATTTCTGATTTCCATTTTAGTGGGTTTTAATTACGTGTTGCTTAACGAAGGCTCCAAGACCTGGAATTGGGAGGTAAAACCTTGCAATAGTAATCCACTCCACTAAATTAGCACAGTAATACACCAAGCAGTAGGACTGCCAGACGGTGTGATAACATTACAAATTACTATTGTTAAACAACCAGCCAGGTGTCAGGATGCATGGAAATCTAGAGGAAGCAAGAAAATAAATATCTGGTTTGTTTTGTTTAATTTTGTCTCCTGTTGTTCTGGTGGCCTTGTTCCCAGAAAAAGCTTCAATCTAGGAAAATTCCTCCTGAACACTAATCTATTTCAGCAACTTTGTCAATTCTCTCTAACAATTAAAATGGAATGTATTCTTTTAATCAGCACAAATGTTTTGCATAAATGACTGTCCTTAGCTTGCCAATAGCAGTAATACCTTTACCTTGTTCTTTTTTAGTTTATTTTTGGAGCAAAATGAATGGGAAATTTTTGTTTCTATTTAAAAGTTGGACAGAGAAACAATTATGGTTACGGGCAGCAGTGAGTTTTGTACTCTGTCCCTTTTCCTTTCTCTGTTGCTCACTCTCTCTGAAAAGAAAAAAAAAATGTAGTATGATTCACATTTAAAAGGCTTCCAAGTGGTACACTTTTAACCAGGTGCTTTCATGTGCTTGATTCCAACTGCCATTTATGATCTAATACAACCAAACAGTATAGGATGTCTGGAATGGTTAATTATTTTTACTTCACCTTAAAGAAGGGGCTCAACAGAGAGGATAGGCACTTAAACGTTTCAGACAGAATAGTGTAAAACGAATTCCTTTATTTGTATGTGTCTTAAATAATGCAAAGGTCCTGAGAGGCTTTCTTTTAATTATTTTTGTTGATAAACAAGAAAATACATTCAAAAGTGTATGGAACAAGTCTTCTCTGAAGGCTGTATGCAGAGTTAAGACTCCTAGCTGAAAAATCAGATGAACCAAATGTTAGTGAAAGCCAGACTTTTTCCCCTTCAAATAGCTCCTGCTGGACTTCAGGGGAGCAGGGGGTGAAGGCACTCTAAGGACATTTTAATCACACCTAAGATTAGTCCTTTAATCCTTATTCCCCCACATCACCAAGAATTTTTTTGGTCAAAGTAGGACAGTAAGATAAGGCTGGAAATAGACTGATCCAAAACTAATGACGAAAAGCAGGTTAAAAATGAAATATCATAGCATTAACTGACACCATCTTAATGTGTAACCCCCGGATTATTTGTTTTCTTCCACACACATTCATTTCCTCAATTTCTAGTAAATCTCATTTCACATAAACAGTTCCGCAAAGCAAAGTCAATAGCTGTTACTGTGTTCCTCATTAATCCACTGAAATGAAATAGATCTCATGGCTTAGTATTTGGCTGTTTAAAGCTAAATCCATTGAAAGAATTCCTGGCTCCAGTTACACCAATAACTTTTGTTTCTTAACCTACATCCTTTTCTGTTTGCTGAAATTTACCTGCTCTAAAATGAAATAAACCCATGCATATTGCACACTTACTTCCCCCAGTACAAGGGCAACATGAGCCACTTTGTTTTGACCCAGAGTGACCACTAAAAAGACAACTGACAGTTTGCATGTACTTAAATCAATCTGAACAATGTGGAAATTTCTATTTTCATTGTTCATGCTTCATCCTCTTCCTGACAAGTACCACAGAGCTGTTTTACTTCAAAACAAACAAACAAACAAAAAAATCACTTTTTGCCCAGCTCCGGCACAGGATGGGAAGCATGTAAGTTTCCCTCACAAGTGGCAGGCAAGCAGACACACACATTCACACCCTGGACATTTTCCTCTCAAATAAATTATACACGTGATACACACGCACTCACCACGCACATCACGGGGCTTCTGCAGGCAGCACAGATTGGCATGATGGAGAACAGCCCAGCACAAAAGCTGCTGAGGCCCACGAGTGACCACCCTGCTGCAGAAGCTTGGGGTTCACCCCCATCAACTGATGAAAGTGCAAGGAGAATACCCCCCACATCCTGGGATAAGACACGAGGCCCAGAAGCCTCCTTACCTGGGAGAAGTTGAGCCCATTCAGAGGGTGACACTGCTCCTCCACCCGCTCCACCGCACCGGTCTTCTTCTTCATCCTCTCTGCCTCCTGGGCGAGGTAGAGATCGAGCACAGGCACTCCTCTGGAGCGGATGTCCGTCTCTGTCAAGGAGTTCACCATGAGCATCACCCAGACGGGCCTCTTGCGCTCCCAGTTCCCGGCGATGGCGTTGAAGAGGTAGTCGGCATAGAGCCCTTTGCCCCGCTGGTCTGGGGTCATCCAGTGGGGCAGCATCAGCTTGATGTAGTCCAGGTGGCGCTTGAGGCGGCGGTACAGCTCCCGGGGCAGCACGTCCTGCAGGTTCTCCCCGTGGGGCAGCATCTGGCAGCTGGCCAGCCCCGAGATGGTGTAGGGGTCCGTGAGGTCCAGCTCGAAGTAGACGCTGGAGCTGGCGTGGAAGGCGGCCTTGGAGTTGTCAGGGATGAAGTCCCAAACTCGCGTGTAGGGCACGTGGATGGTGCCGAAGAGATAAGCGGGGGGGTCACGGCGAATGGTCCAGAGGAAGGAGTTGAGCTCTCCTTGCTGCGGGGAAGACAAGAGGGGCTGGTCAGTGATGGAGGGGCACAAAGGAAGGAGACAGTGATGCCACCCTCAGGGCTGCCCGCAGGGCAGGATCCTGGAGCGGGCTTCCCGCTTCCCCTTCTCCTCGCACCAGCCCCACGCGGGCTCGCAGCGAGCAAAGCCCACGGGCACCATGAGGGCCGCGTGGGGCTGGGTCCCGCCGTGACCCCCCGCTCGCCGCGGGGGACACAGCCCCGAGCCCTCCGCGGGGCAGCGCCGCCACACCTGTGGGGGCCACGCGCGCCCGCGTGCGCGGGGCGGGGGGCGCGCCCCCGGCCCGGCCCGGCCCGGCTCACCGAGCGGGGCAGGTCGCACTGCCCCGTGTCCATCTGCTCCCGCCGGGCCGCGGCGTCGGGCAGGAACCCCCCGAAGACGAAGCAGATCAGCGTCAGGTTGAGTTGCATCCCGCTTCCTCTCGGTCTCCTCTCTCTCCTTCCCAGATGAGCCTTTTTGGATTTCTAGGATCTTTTTTTTTTTTCCTCCCCCCTCCTCCTGCTCTTCCCCTTTTTTTTTTTTTTAAAAGTTTAAAACCAAGATTTTTTGGACTGTTTTTTTTCTTTAATTCGGCGGTCGAGAAGGGGGTCCCGCGGCGCCTTGCGGAAGGCGGACGGCGCTCGGCAGGGCGGCGGCGGCCCCCGCACCCCGGCCCCGCTCCGCGCTCCCCGCTCCGGAGGCCGGACCCGCGCGCCGGCGGAAAGTTCCGCGCAGCCGCCCCGGCTCGCCCGCGCCTC